GGGTTTAGGGTTTAGGGTAATACAAGGGTTACTATGGGGGCTCTGGAAAGGTATATGCAAGGGTTTCTGCCGTTGTCTATGTGCATACTTTGTGTAGTAAGATAATGGTGCCTGGTCGTAGTAATCCTCATATTCCTGAGAACCGTAAGACTGACAACCATAAGTAAACAATAAACAAAATCACCGTTGTAGTGGTAAAATTCGGAATGACCGTAAGGATAATTTTGAGGTTGTCAAGGCGGCTACTAGCTATGTCTATAGGTACAGCTGAAGCTTTGAAGATTTCTCGGTTTGTGAACTGACGGAAGAAAGAACATACTGCTCATGGCTCCCTAAACCCTAAACCCTAAACCCTAAACCCTAAACCCTAAACCCTAAACCGAAAGAACAGTCCGAGCTCCGTGGGGCTGGGCTTCAAGGCTCCCGACTCCCCAGGCTGTCAACAGCCCCTACATGTCAAGGATGGCTGTAAGGTTAAAGTGGTCACTGCACCTGTGGTCGCCTATGAGCTCTTCCAACAACTTCCTTCAAAACCCAAAAGCACCTCGTGAACTCCTAAACTTGTCCTAAACTTTGGTCCTCAACCCTGAACCCTAGGCCCTAGACCCAAAACTCAAAACTCCTAAACGCTTAACCCCCGAAGCCAAAAACTGTGCCTTCAGGACTGGTACCTGTCGTCTGTCAGCCATTTGCTCGAGGATCCCAAGGTTCCTGCGATTCAGAAACGTTTAATGTGAAGATGAATAAACGCCTTAGTTGCAGTAGTTGCTTTCATGATTGCGAGTACAATGGTGATTTGCTCTGATCTTGGTTCGGTTTAGGATCACCATTGTCATTGAAAGTTAGGATTGGCACTGTTTGCGCAGGGATATAGCGTTTCCTGGGGATGTGCCAAGATGAGGGAACAAGTGTGGAGGCATAGGGCAGCATGCTAGCAGGAAGCCAATGTAAGCTCAGCAGTCGTAGCGTAAGGATGGTGCTTCCCTGCTGCGGAGCGACGATCAAGCGCTACGATACAAACCAACCTGTCTCCGTGGCCTCAAGTTCTCCACCCCTTCGTCCTCGCCTTAGGGCTCCCAGTCTGAACCCAAAAGTCACTTCGTGCAGAGCGCCGACGATGACGGGGACTACTTCCTGGCGTGGCTTCGGGAGTGCTGCCGCGAGGTCTCGCACTCGGGTTCCACAGCCCTTGTTCGTTTACGCAATGCGGAAGCCTGGTGCTTGGAACGAGTCAGTGTAGCTTTCATTTGACAGTCTGTTCCTCTTCGCTCTTGCTTAGTGCGACCCCGGACGAATATGCCGGATGTAAAGCTGTCGGACACATCGCCTTGCACGTAGCTGGCAAGGTCTACGATGATGTTGACAGGACGGGTGGCGTACATTCCTGGCAAAACATAGTTGGTGCTTTTGCTGATGTTCATAACTTGCATGTCCCATGATGCAGCCCTCGGATAAGAGAGCCAGGAGGCCTCTGTAGACGCACCGTTAGAGCACCAAAGCATAGACTCGTGATTTCGTGCTGGGCCTGGCACGGTTGCGCTGGGCTTATGTGCAGGCTCCGCTCGGGGAAAACTGCGAAACGCAGACAGCAGAACTTTTTCGATGCTTCTTCTGTTGCCTTTGTCCTGGTTTTCACGTCCTGCACATTTGTTGCGTGCACATTCAGATCCCATACCAGCAGGTTTGACTTGTCATTCCTGTGAGAAGCCGAGAGTGCTTTACGTTCTTGTATGGTCGAGGAACGATCCAAAAGAGCTGCGTACCATGAAGAAAGTCAGGACTGGCTTTGGTGTGTCTGTCTGTGTATGGTCACTGTGGACAGCCTTGCTCCGTAGATTCCAGCATGTCTTGGTAGGCTAAGGTTTAAGAATGTGTCGCCAAGAGTGGAGAAAAGGACTTAGATTTTTGAGGCAATAGAATGGTTTCCGAAGGGCCTCGTTAGGCGTCCCTGCTTCTTCCCACAGAGCCGCGATGCTTCAGTCGGCTGCTCTAGCCACCCCTTCTCGGAGGTCTCCACCTGCAAGCTAGAACTTGCCAAGTGCAGTAATTGGGCTTCGAAGCGATTCTGCTGGCAGTGCTTGAGGAGTGTGAAGAACAAGACCAAGCGCCACAACCTCGCCGACATCCGCATCCCGAGCATGGAGGAACCTGAGAGCTCGCAGCACAAAGTAGCTTGCTCTCCGGACCAGCGCCGATTGCAACATGCTGGCAGTGTTGAGCTTGGAGGCCTCTTCTGCCACTCCCTGAAAGCACGAAAGTAGCTGGGTCTAGTGGAGCTGCGTAGCCGTCGGGCTCAAAAGATGCAACGGCCGGGTCAATTGAAACAGAGGCCGTGGGCCACGAGGTAGCAGAATCTGACAGGCTCGTGCCGGGCAAATTTGGAAGGTGTGCCTTGGCAAGGGGCTCTTTTTACGCTATCGCTGCGCAGGAAGCCTTCCGAGAGCTTGCCGAGTTCGAGCCGCAGTCGGGGTGCTCGGTGACATGCCTGGGAGGTTTCCGACTGTGCTTTCTTGTCGTTTTGCGGCCAAGATGGTCGGTGTGGGGCCCAAACGCAGCTCTGAGGTCAGGAAGCAGCCGCAGGCAGCGTGCCGGGGCCTCGGGTGGAGGGGCGAGTCGAACGGTTCAGAGGTTGCTGTGACGGAGTGATTCATTGCCAGTGCAGTGACGTGTGTTTGTGTCAGTTGTTGCTGTCCTGAGAAACCTACGCAAAAACAGGGACAGCAACCGGAGCAGCAATCATGAAACGTATATGAACACACTCAATTGTTCGCACCATTCGGTGTGCATTCTGGTAGGTATTTCAACTGGCATTGCCTTGCCATTGCCATTGATGCTGCTACGACGCGACCACGACTTCTAACGCTAGGAGTGTGTCAATTCTTGTTTGCTACCTGCGTTGCTAGCACGTGTCGAAGTGTGGATGCTTCTCCTCCGTGATCATCACGGCCAGCATCATTGTGATTTCAAGCGAGTCTTGCCACGATGCCACAGTAACTACTTCGGGTGCTCCTAATGCAACCATGAGGGCTCTTTTGTGCAAGTGCTTGACATGGCAGCATCGTGGACATGGTAGGTTGGAATGGAGCTACAGCGTAGAGCAATGCTAGGTGGGGTCACGAACGGGGTCAGTACACACGCATTTGCTTATATTCCGTCAAAGCCATGCTTCATGCCGGCAAAGCCTTGGCCGCGGCTTCTCTATGCCCGCAGTTGTGCCCGCGGTGCGACAATGTTCTTGAGGGAGGTTCCGGGCGGCTCTCCAGGAAAAGTTCGCTTGCCCCGGAGACGGCAAAGGCAGGTGCGACGTTGTCGCTGGCCGTTGCTTCGGTAGCCGCTCTCTGGCGCCAGCCCCGGTCCAAGACCTGGAGACAGGCCGGGAGAAGGCGAGCGCATGCGCTGCATGCGATACAGTACTGCGATGGTTTGGTACTGGGAGGCCGACCTGCATCCGTCTGGCTGCCAGGCTCCACGGGAAAGAGCATCTCCTCATACTCGTACTCTTTCAGCTCTCGAAAGCTGTCCAGAAGCGTTCTGGGACTGCCACTGGGTTCCGGGCCGGTCATGGTCGAGGTGCCCACATCGTGCGAGGTGAGTCTTGGCGAGTTGCCTTCAACAGTCACTGCCCGCGGCGCCGTCCTTGTTCATGGCCTCTTGTGCTCCCGCCTGGATCTGGCGCACGTTGCCGAGGCCCTGGCCAGCAGGGGCTTCACGGTGGTGGCGCCCGAGATGGACGACTCCGTGAGCCACGAGGATGCCGTGGCGCCTGGCGGCTTCGTGGGCGAACTGTTGAATCAGGAAGAAGGGGAAGCAAGGCGCTGCGAGGTGGCCAGGGAGGCTGTGGCTTGGCTCCAGAAGCGGGGTGCCCAACAGGTGGGGCTGGTGGGCCACTCCCGGGGTGGCGTGACCATCTCCCAGCTGGAAGGCAACTTCTGCCGTGTGAACATCGCAGGCTTCCAGCCACCTCCTGTGGATCCGGAGGAGACCTTCTCGCCTTCTTCCCGTTGCGGGCCGATGCTCATCATCTGCGGCCAAGATGACGAAGTTTGCACCCGACCACCCCTGTCCATGCAATACGTGCAGGATACCGTTCGAAGACTTCTGCCTGATGCCCAAAGCTGGTATCCTCCTGACGTGGGCCACTTCTCCGTTTTGAACCCAAACGTCGTCGCACAGTGGCGACCCTTGCTGGGCCCCGCTGGCTTCCTCGCTCCCGACTCCAAGCCCGAAGTTTCGGAGGCCTTGGCCGAGCGAGTGGCTGCGTTCCTGGACACTGAAATGCCGTCAGGTGAAAAGGGGAGGCCGCCCGCCCCACATTCTTTTGGCATGACGCGATTCACTAGCATCGACTTTCAGGAAGGATGGCGGATTGTGGACAAACCATCCCAAGCCCTCAAGACTTCAATGCTGTAGTAATATACGATGATAGACCTTAAACCACCAATCTATGCTTTCAATATCCCCTAGTAAAACTTGACATCTCGGTTCCCAACGCTTGCCGTGATCAGAACCAGATTCTGGTCATGAAGGAAGGCAAACCAACTCCCAGGAAGCTAATACAGGGGCCTTAACGTGTAGAACAGGATTTTGAGGTATATTAAACTATAATTATAGTAAGGGACCCCCAAAACCCTATTCTAATTACTAAGGCCCCTACATTAACACCCCAAAGCCCGACACCTCCCCCCGCCACCCCCCCGCCCCCCAACCCGTACACTCGCCCAGGTGTTGGCGAAGATTGTGATCGATGCTTTCCAGCTGCGACTGGTGGACCGCCACCTGGGTGCCGGGAAGGTTTTGCGACGTTTCGGGGCATACGGTGCAGACTTCATGTACAGGGCTTCTGTGTCCTATGCAGCACCGACAGCGCGACACGCCGGCATTCGCTGAACAACTTCGAAGCCCCAGGTCCTGAGCCCGAGCTTGAAGATAAACCCGAAGCGGCCATTCATAAAAAGTATCCCGAGGCTCTGTGCAGCCCTACACCAAAGGGACTTACATCCTCGGACCTTGAAGCGAGGACTTGGCAGCAGTTCTCCGCGTTGCTGACTGCGTGCTCTCGGCCAAAGAGGTGGGCCGAACAGTTGAGGTGTGGGTCATATGGGTCTGCAGGCCTCAGGTTTTAGTAGTGGCTTTGATGCCCACGGTTTTCGGGACCTGGCGTTTGCTGATGTGTTGCACGGGGTTGTGGGTAGCTGCCGTTGTTAAGTCACTTGTTCGAGATTTGCTTGAGTTTGCAGCCCGGCCCAAACTCAGCTGCGGCTTCCGGCTTGCTCTTGGCACGGGACGAAGCCTAAAGCCTGAACCCGACACCCAGGATGAGGAGGTGGTGGTGGTTCTGTATGCTGGAGGCAGGGGTCTTGGTTTCCTTTGTTGTGCAGTTTCTGCATTTGGCAGGAGATGCCACATAGACCAAAACTAAACTCTGCCTCCTCGCTCCACAGCAGAACTCTCAGTCTCAACCGTTAGTGTTTGCGCTCATGTCGTGAACCCTTGACGCTTCTTTCTCAGCTGCAGCGTGCCTTCTCGATATGAGCTGGTGAGCTCACAGCCATTTTCAGAGGCTTCGCGCTGATGTCAGAGCTTGCGGAGCGTTCTGCGAAGCATACGGTGCCCTCCCCGTGCGGGACGGGACCCGATGGAGCTCAATGCCAGGAATTTACCACTAGCTGCACTGGGCCGTTGCGCTTTCTGCTGCTGCGATTTCATGGCATCCACAATAGCCACTACATTGGCATCAATCGCCTTCGGCTCTTCTGTGCAGACAAGACCGAGATGTCTTTCAAGGTGCTCATGGCGGATGATTCTCGAGACTCCGATGCATCTGCGGTGGCAGGAGGAGCTGGTGGCTGGTGGGCCGTGAGCGGCACGGCGCATTCCTTGCTCCTACAATTGGAGGACATGGCGCACGTGACCAGCATGGGCATGTGGTGTGCGAACGTGGGCGCCACCCCCAAGGAGCTTGAGATTTCGGATGGCCGGGTCCACTTCCCCGAGCTCTGCGCAGCGGAGGAACCCAATGAGGTCGACATCTCACACGGTCAGCCGGGCGAGCCAGTGATCCTGAAGATCAGCCCCGGATGTGGTCAGGGAGATGACGAGTGTCAGGTCTTTGATGTGAAGATCCCTTTGGAGAAGCATATGCTGCTGCGCTTCAAAGGCGTTCATGACAGTCACTACATCGGTATCAACCGCCTACGGCTTTTTGCAGGGGATGTGGAGCTTGGCTATAGGGTGGTGGCTGCCGATGACATGTCTTCGGTTGAGAACGTGACGAGGAAGGGTGGCTGGTGGGCTGTGGCGGGCGCGGACCACTATTTGGCGTTGCAACTTGACCAGAGCTCCACGGATCTCACCTCCTTGGCGCTATGGTGTGCAAATCAGCAGGCGACACCAAGAGAGTTGCAGCTGGTGACGGACATGGCCTGGATTGCTGAGCTCACGGAGCTTCTGGAGAAGATCTCAGAGACTGGCCAGCGATTGGGGCCAAGGGCGCGCAAGCTGTTGGACAGCAACGCAGGGCTGCTACTAGGCTTGTCTCATGAGGATGAGCGTTTGAGATGGGCCTTGATGGTGAAGGTGTGGGCGGGCGAAGCCCCAGACTTCCCGATCCGCAAAAGTGATACGCTGGGAAGGTTACAGGCACGACTCTTCTGTGAGAGTTGTCGCACTCAACAGGCCCTGCCCAAGGCTCGGATCTGCGGCTTGGAGTGGCAGTGCTTTACGGGGAAGATGCCCTCCTTGTGGGAAGTCTCCGTGGAAGTGACCTCAGGCCTACTCTGGGAAGCGAAAAGTCATGCTCCAGAGTGGTTGGGAACTGGACTCTATGTACCGCCAGGTGGCAAAGTCTCCGTGACGACGGAGGGTAAGACGGATGGCTGGTCGGTGCGAGTGGGCGCGCACACGGATGACATAAGCTGCAGAGATGACTGGCGCCGTTGGCCACAGGTGAGCATGATTCATCCACTCGCCGCCTCGGTGACCCTTGTGACGCCTTTCGGAGGCAACGTCTACTTAGTCCGCAGTGACGCGGCGTCCAAGTCCCTCTCTGCCAGCTTCTCTGGGAACCTGCTGCGGCAGCCTCGGGTGAGCCTAGTTGACGGCATGGACACCATTGAGGACGGTGAGGGTTGGGTGGATTGCGAAGGAAAGAAGGTGATCTTCACTCTGCCTTTCCACGCCCTCCAGGCTGCCGTAAAGAACGGCGCGGACGTCTTAAAAGCGCTGGACTTCTGGGACAGGTTGTGGAGCTGTTACAATGAGCTGAGCCCACACATAGATCCCCGGCCACAGCGGATTGTGCCAGACGTGGACATCTCCGTGGGTTTCATGCACTCAGGGTATCCAATCATGACGCATTTCGAGGGCGTTTTGGACGCTAGCAAAGATAAGCCCATCCCCAACGTCTTAGACTTGGAAGGGCTCAAGAAGGCAGGCAATTGGGGCCTGTTCCACGAGCTGGGCCACAACATGCAGCGTCCATCTTGGACCTTTACGGGTACTGTGGAGGTCACTGTGAACCTCTTCACCTTGTGGGGCTATGCCCAAATTTGCGAGAAGAATGATAGACGGCATCCAGACTACAACACCAAGGTGCCCGGTGAGTTCTTCGCCCGCGGCGCTCCACGCGCCGAGTGGGATCAGAATCCCTTCCTGGCTCTCGCCACCTATGGCCAGATCATTGAGAGATTCGGCTGGGAGGCCTTGCAACGGACCTTCAAGAGCTATGCCGAGGAGGGCGAGGTGTCTCGCGACTATGCCGTTCAGGTGCGCAGCTTCGTGCGGCTCTGGTCCTTGGAGCTGCAGCGGGATCTCCGACCTCATTGGCGGCTCTGGGGTTTCCAAGAGGAGCTGAAGCTGTCGGACCCGGACCTGGACCAGCTGAAGCCCTGGAGCTTCAATTGACGCGCTGAAGGACAGAGAGTTTCTGAAGATCGTGTACGGTAGGTACAGCGGATATGAAGCGGTGTTAGTGTCAATGGATATCATAGCCAGTCACCCTCAGGACTTTCCGCTTGCTTATGTCTGCGTTCGTGGGCCGCCTTCTGGTGTTTCTAGGCGGTACGTGCAGCCGAAGACATCGTCTGGGTGAAGTCAAACAACTTCGGACGGCAGCGGAGAACCAATGCCTGCTGCAATGGGCGGCCCCAGGAGGGACGGTGGCTTTTTCGTCCAGGGCGGTGTTGCGAACTCAACACCAGCGATGTTCGGAGCCAAGGACAGCCAACGTGACTTTCATATGTATGATGATGGTCCTCGTCCTGACGGACCTGTCTGTCCGACAGTCAAGAACACCGGACCATTCCGTTGGACACTTGTGTGACTGACCTTCTTGTGGATGAATCGTCTGGCTACAAGTCGCCGTTCCTCATCCCAGAAGTGTTCTAATATTCAGGACTCAGACCATGGTGAGCATTGACCGTTACTCAGGAGTCAACTGCAGCAGAGACATCCGGAGAGGCCCTCAATACCCACCTGGCGTTTGTCTGTGTAGCCTTGAGCCGGGCTGTATCAAGGCCGTGTGCGAGGATAATGATGTGACTTAGCGTCGGTGGTCAGCTTCTTACGGCCGTGAAGGTGTGCCTCGGGATTCCGTTGTCCACCCTTTAGCCACGTGCGTGGATAAAAGACAAATCGTGTTTTCTTGTGGCAGCACCACTGGCGTTAGCACCCAAGCCCGAACAACTTTGGTCCACATGCCGTTGTGACCTCACTCCTGCTACTTCTCAGTGAAGTGCATCTCTTCGGTCACGCTTAGACGAGTGAGTGGCCCCAGAGTGTTTGATTTTGATCTTCCGGCCAAATCGGCAGTTGTCACGTTACGAGGGGCTCTGCAAGAAGCAGTGAACCGTTCCGCGGAACGAGGAATCTGTGGACAAAATGATGCACATCTGATGAACAACGTTGGGGCTCTCAGCAAAATCGCGAATTCTAGGCCTGTGGGGATTCGATGGGTGCGAGCGTCGACAACTACAACACTGTTTCAGTGCGGTCTGCTGCAGAACTATCCGCCATGGCATCCAAAGCACGCACTTCTGCAGTGCTTTTGTTGCAGGGTTTTGAGGGTTTGGGTTCTGGAGTTACCCAGAACCCAGCCCAGCCCAGGCCCGGCCCCAGGCCGCAAGGCCCCAAGGCCCCAGGCCCCAGGCCAGGCCAGGCCCCAGACCCCAGGCCCCAGGCCCAAGTGACTTCATCCTAGGTCTCGGCTTGGTCCCCCGATGCCAGGCTCAGCTCCCTTCGGCCCCGAAGCCGAGCCTCTCCTCAAGCCCATTTTTCGAAGATTTGCTCCGACATCCTGGACACCGGTTGCCTGACCCCGGATTAGGCTCAACTATATTGTGCCTCTAAACTTGTTGCGCCGACTGCCGTGATGATGGCGGTGACAATGGTGTTGCAGTGATGGCAGTGATTGCCACGGTGAAATGTTCGAAGAAGTATCTCCATCACTGCCAGGCGCCCACGCGCACTGCGTGGAGGAGTTCTGGCGTGCCCAATCCTTCACCAGCGACGACTTGCCGAAGAGGGGCCTCGACACTTGACGTCAATCTGTGTTCGCATGGCATCAGAAACTGCTTTACAGTTTGAACGTGGGTCGTTAATTTTTCTGACTTCCTTTGTTTCATGGGGTTGTGCCGCTTTGTTGTTTAACGGATTTTGATCGGATTCGACCGGTCTGGCAACACCGTCACCCGGGTCCCTCATCCAAGACCGAGTCGCTTGAACGTTGGCTCTAGTGGTCGCGTCATGCCTGTACTCTGTGTATTTATCTTGGGCAGAGATGGGCATCCAGCATCCTTGGCTCTGTATGCGTGGACGCCGAGCAGTTTCCGAGCAAGACGAAACCGTTAATCTTGGAGGAACCCCGAGGCTGGTTGTCACAGCATCTGTCATGCTGCAACGGCACCTCCCTTTCCCAACTGCGGCCCTCGTCAACGGCCCCAAACAGCACACCTCAGAGAAGCACCAGCTGTGAAGCTGTTCAAACTGAGGTGGGGAAGGACGACTGGGATGACGACGAGCCTCGGGGACTTGTGCTGCCCAAGTATCTGCGCCTCGGCCGTTTTGGGCTTAGAGGCTTTGAGGGTTGGGCTTTAGACGGGACTTTTTAACGACCGTCGAAAAAGCACCGACACCCAAAAACTCCAAAAGCACACCCTCCACAACCCGAGCCGAGTTCTCAAGCTGCCATGCACTCTAAGGCACGATTTCGATCTGCTCTTCCCGCAGGATTCGGGCGAGGCGCACGCACCAGACGCGGCAATGTCGGAGGGCGCGGATGAAGCAAAAGCCCGCGAACTGGAGCTGAGATTTAGTCAAGGGGTGTATGTGATGGCGGATTATGGGATTTTGGTCGTGATGGCGGTGATGATGATGCTGACTATGGCAGTGGTTGTGATGCACAATGATGACGGTGGCCATGATGACGACAACAAAGATGCTGCTGCTGATGATGATGATGAATCTGAATTGCTGAACATTCGATAGAAGTAGAGGATCTGCAGGTGAAAACCCTGGCTGCATCTTATGATGACCATCTGCACAAGAGTCCGTAAGACTCATCATCATCATCACCATCATCATCCTCATCCTCATCCTCATCCTCATCCTCATCCTCATCCTCATCCTCATCCTCATCCTCATCCTCATCATCATCCTCATCCTCATCCTCATCCTCATCCTC